TCTCACCAAAGTCACTTCTAGATAGAATGCATTGCATTGGATGCTCTGTAGTGTGTTGGTTTGTGGTAGCGCCGGACTCATAGCAGGCTGCGCACAAGTCATAATCGATGCAAATCAAACATTTGTATCGTCGTCCTCTGAAGTTATTTTTCAAACAAGAATCACAGCTGACTCCTGAAAATATGTCAATATACACAATACAACAACAATTCGTCATTTCATTCCTATATAAGTCAATTATATTAAAATTATATGCATAAATCGTATAATTGTGTTAGGATGACAATATTTTCATATTTTTTTGCAATGAAATTCGCAGTGACAATAGCATCGAACAAATTTTGATTATCATTACCCACCTTCATGGCGATTCATTTTCGCCAGAAAATGTCGTCGAAACAGACACTTCTTGGCACCAGGATTACCGGTACTATATGAGGTATTTATATTACTAATCTAAAATAAGTAGCACAACATATAATATATTAAAATACAAGATTGTTAACAAAAATTTCCAAGCAAACCTAACCCAACCAGGCCATAATGACGTCACATAAATGAATGAACCATCGATATTACTCTTTTCTTTTCAAAATTAGGCAATGGCATTACTTGTTCAGCTAAATCTGTCATTGAGTCATCGTATAAATGTTAATTATTATTATTGATTGTTTTATTTACTTGAGAGATATTTTTATTTATTATCTCATTTATTACATGATTTTATTTGTTTCAATCGTGAGGTAGCCTAACTTTTTTAAGGCTCTTTGATTAAAATAGGTACTTAAAAAGAGGTTTATGTAGCCTTTTACCTTACATTATTAAAATCATACAAATACAAAGGTACACGTAACAACCAAAATGAATTTTCTGATAAAATACCAATATTGCAATAAGGTATACAAGGAAATACAAGGATTATACAATTTATTCAAAATATGACACTAAACAATGACATTCTTATTAGGACGATACCATAAAATATAAAGAAGTAAAAACGCAGCCTCTTTAGTAAGAATTGTCAATGTTTCTCTCTAGCCGACTAGTCCATCGACAATGTTCAAGGCAATTGTCATTTCGACATACATGACACTTTTGACAACTATTTTAAAAAGTAACTTTCGTTTCCCTCATTTTTGCTTTTTGTTGTCCTGTGACTGTAAATTTATTTTAAATAAAGTGTATTACTTTGTATGTTGATGAAATATTAAATTACCACAGTGTACTGAACTAATTACCCTGAATAATATATATTTTGTTAACCCGTATTATTATTACTCATCTTTTTGCGCGGGAATCGGGGGTTAGAGTGTAATAAAATTGGATTTTACAACGTCTTGAAAATGACTGATGCACTGTGCCATTTAGTTGTAGATGGAAATGAGGTCCTGGAATTTAAACTGGGTAAGAACTTACTACAAAATAAAGAAGATCCTAATTAGAACTTGGTGCAAACATCTGAGTTCAGTTGTGTTAGCATTCCTGCGTTGCCATTTCCTGCCAATGTATGGCGTGAAACTACATATATTATGAAGAATGTGTTTAATCTTACGGGTTGCTTTTGTTGATCATGTCTTCGTCATATTTTCAGTGCGAGATGTTGATGAAATAGAAAATGACGAAACAAGTTTCGGTCCCGAGATGTGTCATCAGGTTTTCGGTGAAAACGAAAACATATTTGGGTACACAGACTTGCACATAAAACTCTTTTATAGTGCAGGTAGTCTTCAGACATACCTTGGGATTGAGTACACAGAGAAGGTAAATAATAATCAGGGACTGACTATTGCTTAATACAGTCCTTTATGTTTAATTTAGATTATCAGTGCTGGAATAGAAACAATTTTATTGACAATAATGATTCACTCAAGTGACCTGTTGTCTTTACTTTTTTACAGATTGAACCAAATAAATCTGAGGGTATGAAGGCAGATGATGTGGAAGGTGCTCTAACTAAAGTGCTTGCACCAGGATTCACTACCAATTTCGACCAGTTTGTCAATAGGCTAAAGAAAGATGAGACATTTGTTCCCTTTGGAAAGCAGATACATGCTTTTCAAGCTACCCCTGGTAAGTACAAATTGTATAAATTATTGTCTACATGAGTGTATGTAAATGTTGTTATTCAATTCTAAAGCTTGACACTATGAAGTCCACTGTACATTCTTTTAGTGACTTTTATTGTACATTTTGTACTTAATAAAATAAGAAGAATGATGTAACATAGGACTTGTTCAAACATGTTTTATTATTTTTAATCTCTTCGAATTTGTCACAGTGAAATGCTTTTTATAAAATGCTTCTAATTATCTAATTCTACTTATGTAAGTATGAACATGAAGTTTCTCTCCACATTAATGTGTGTTATGTATTTTGTGAGGTACAGTTTTATTTTAAACAACTGTAAAATAATGTTGGAAAAATTAACATTTAATTTTGTGACAAAATATTTGTTATTGGCTCTGAGATTCATTAATCCATTTTAAACTTTTTTTTTTTATATTAGAAGGGACTGGTGTTTGACCGCTATCTCTATAAATAATAATTCCTAATTTCCAGCTGATGGTGGTGAAAAACGATTTTTTGAAGTGTACTACACTGAGACATCTACCAGTGGTTTCCTAGCTTACCATCAGAGGTTACAGACCTTCTTATTGTGGTATGTTGATGCAGCCTCTTTCATTGATGTGGATGATGATCAATGGACATTTTTCACAGTGTAAGTATTATTTGGTAAACTGGTTAATATGACCTGGTTGTTCAATAACTATGAGTGAGTTATTCTGTAACTGTTGTAATGTTCATATTTGTATGTTAGTTGCTATCTACCCACAAACTTTAAGTATGTACAAATTGCTGTTAATATCTCCTTTAGTACACACAATATTCCATTACAGTGTGATGTCTCTTTACCCCATGGTGTAGACAGGTGCAATTAAGATTGTCTCATTCATGTGGCTCTTTGGCAGCCCCTTACACTACTCATCAGAGTGGTGTAAGGCGCTCACACCCTTCACTCTACTTGAATGTGGTTTACAATATACTTGTCATTTGATGAAATTAAGAAGTATCAGCATTTATTTAATTTTTTGATGTTGCAGGTATGAGAAGTTTCAATCCAGTGAGGGTGGCACCAGGTATGCTACTGCAGCATATGCCACAGTGTACCGCTACTACGCATACCCGCGTCATTCTCGTCCCCGCATCTCTCAAGTTCTCACACTGCCACCATTCAGGAAGCTTGGCATCTGTGCAAATCTTCTAGAGGTATGATCTTGTCTCAACGGAGACTGACATTTGAGTTTATTTCGGCATTTCTTCTCAGAATAATCAGATTAAAAGAGAATGTTAGGAAGAGTACATTATTAACTTGTTGAGTACCGTCATTATACACACAATTAAAGAACAATAGGTTGCGGTCATCGGCGACCGCTTGGTGTTTGACAATTTAAGATACCAATGATAAATGATAATGAGACTAAACATATTTTGTTACAGGCAATTTATGCTAACTTCATGATTCAACCAGATGTAGTAGATATTACTGTGGAGGACCCGTCACAGGATTTCCAGAGGATTCGAGACTATGTTGACGCAGCAAGCTGTGAAAATCTTCCTGCCTTTCATCCTTCAAAACTTGTGCAAGGGTAATTATTTTAATAACTTATTTTGTATTTCATGAAGAGAAAATATAGAGCTTTTGGCTCTTTTAATAAAAATAATTTTGTTTCAGTTTCTCTCAAGATATGGCTATCCAAGCATGTAATAAATACAAAATTAATAAGAAGCAAGCTCGGCGCATATATGAGATCCTTCGCTTGAAGAACACAAACACATCAGATAAGACTGCCTACTTGAACTACAGGCTTGAAGTCAAAAATAGACTCAATGCGCCTTTCCAGGTTAGTTATTAGCTAAACAAAGGATTTATCACCTGTAATATTCTGTTATGGAAAATACATATTTGTAAAATATATACTGTTTACAGAAAAAGAAATTAGAAATGAAGAAACTGCAAAAAGTATTGAAGCCTGAAGAATATGCAGCTACAATTAGTGCCACGGGCCTGAGTGAGACACACAGTCGTCTGACCAACCAGTACCTTACACTCGAACAGGAGTATAGACGCGTCATAAACAGGATGGAGCGAAATTATTTATAAACCATTGGAAAAAACACCAATATATTTGTAAAGCATGTCTAATACAGTTAAATCCTTGACTTGCTTGCTCTAATTATGATGGTCAAGAGGGTTTTGGTGTCCTTAGTCGTAATTTTACTATCATTACTTATAATTGTACCAAAAATAATTACGCATTATCGCCACTATTGTAATAAAACTGAAAATTTTAACATTGTTATTGAAGACCTGGTCTTGCTCAGTTTTAAAGTTCTAGTTGAATTGTATTGGAATTTATTATTTAAATTATTATTGTATTATTTGTCAGGTTAAACAGTTACTTGGATCTCTGATTGGGTCTTTGATGCCTTGTTAACACATTACCTACGAGATCATACTTAATGTTAGTGAGTATTTAAATATGTTAGTGTTAGGCCAACATAGGATGGTGACTAAACTCTTGTGACACCTGGTTCTAAACCAATTTATAAATGAAGGTGTTTTGTTCAAAGTTCAAAGAGTGTTCTGGAAAACAATTTTTAATGTTTATTGTGTGCCTTATGAACGCGACACATCTATTTGTAATTTCGTTGTTAAGGTGTGAGCAATGTGTTAATTCTTTCGGTTGTCAACATGATGATTATTTGTCTAATTCAGGTCCTAAATTGCCGAAATTGTTTTTATTATTAAAGTTTGAATGTAATTTTTCGTAATAAAACTCGATTTGAAAGTAATCATCTTTATTTCTTTGAATAGTTGTCCACTAAAATAGAATGCAATCTTACTGTTATGTTTGATGCTTTGTTAAGCACTAGTGTGTACCTGCAACATTACATTTGTTATACAATATTGGATTTATATTGGTCTGCACTTACTACAAAGCTAGTTTCAATTTGCACTGTACTTATTTCTCTAATTTGCTGACTACACCTACTTAGTGAAACTATAATTGATACATCGTTAGAACTGCTGCTTGGAATAACAATATTTGATATAGTCTCTACATAAATGTTATAGTTTAATGTTGATATAATTTATGTGCGCGCCTGAATAGTAAATAGCTGCGCTCAAATAGTATGCATTATTATTTACTATGTGAAACACGCAACACAACACGTACAGTAAATAATACAAATAATGCCTGGAACATTGAAACACTTAAAAATAACGCTATTTCACTACATAGCCATTTACTTGTTCATTACTTTAGATAATTAAACTTATATTACGCATTAGTCTGCACTCAATCAACTATTTGAGCAAACTAGATATCTTTTTGACTTAAGAAATTGTGGTATGACGGTATAGTACGTCGAATGTGCTACGATAGCCTGTATAAATTAATAAATCATACACACAAAAAGCACAAACCTAAAGTTATACTTCTAGTATAAAGTTGAAAGATTAAACACGGGCTAGTCTAAATACAACGACTAACCTCTACGTATCTATAATAATCATACCAGGCTCCCTATTGTGCATTGATAGGCCAGTGCTAGTAAATAACAAGGTCCCAATTACAACCGCTACATAATACTGACAAACGTTTCCTACAAGAAAATAGTACCCTACGTAATCTTAACACAAATACCACTTTTGAATAATAACTTTATCCAAACATGCAGTCATTCACAGTCTCTCTCATATCTTTGCCGCGGGCCGAGCATTTCACCCGCATTCCAGTCTTGATAACTTTCTCTCTATGCAAGGACTCTGTACCAATGGTATCAAGATCCCTGGTTCAAAAGTGGTGTTTGAGTTAGAAGCGAATTTAACATGAGAACTTTGAAATACATTATTCAACTTTATGTCTCCTAATGAAGGCGTAATAAGTCACTCGTTTACAATATTGATTGTTTCTAGTAATCTCGTTACCAGAAGATAGAATTCATATCAGTTGCTATATTATCAGAACAGTTTTGCAAAGAGATTCAAGATGAAAGCGCATTTATAAGGGTAAGGGTTTCTGATAGTATAGCAACTGATTCAACATCGCTGACGTTTAATTTTGTTTCCATTGGACGGTGGCGAATCAACAATTTTGTTTTGAATTTAAATCAGCTCGTAAAAATATTCAGCGATGACTTTTTAATATTTTGGAATGTAAAGTATCTCAATAGAGAGCAAAATTTTGTGGTTTTGATGAGTATCGGTGTAGTTGTGAGCTTTAACGGGAGCGAGACATGCTGTCGGCCACGTAGTACACCTCGCCGAACCACTCACTGTGCTCATCCAAGAATCTGCAAAAGAAAATCAAGACGTTTTTGAGTCAAAGTCTAGTACCATTTCTAAAAACGACGACGGTTCTAAAAAACTCTTCGATGTACCGGTGTTTACTGAATGTATGTATTTTCTGTTATTGGTATTTAAATAGGATCACTTACTGAACGAACATATCGATGTGCTTGAGAATCAGTTTCAACTTGAAGTCTGGCATTTGAGTAGCGTTCAGAAAATCAGGTAATTTTACTGTAATGAAGACAAAACGTTAAGTTAAGACCTAGATTAAAAATACAAACCAATATTTTATAGATATCAAAGTAAAATACTTTACCGAACAGTCTGGCAAGATGTATGGCGCCGTATACACGGCATGGCAAGTGTTCGGTTCCCTCGCGTGGAATTATCTGCCATTTTGAAACCTGGGAATAAAAACGGGACATCAGTATGAAATTCAATAAAACACTGTCATTAATTTTCACACTACTATTTTCTCATCAAAAAAACTGCATCAACCATGTACTTAAAACCACAAAAATATATCGAAGTTGTGGTATTACCTTATCAAACAACAGAGACAGTGGAGTGCGTGTAGTGGTCGGAGCGGGCGTGGACTGCGTGGGCCGCGCCCAGCACTCGCTCAGCGACGATCCGCTACTGCCGACACTGACGTGAATAAAACATCATTAGCTTAAATATCATTAACTTAATAAATTCAAGTAATTAAACTGTCAAACACCAAGCGGTCACCGGTGACCGCAACCTATTCTTCTATAATTGTGTCTACAAAACCGGTACTCGACGAGTTAAACAGTTCGTTGTTCACTATAGGAATTTAGTTTTATTGTTGGATTTTCATGTGCCTTATTGATCTAGTTTTATGAAACAATGATTGGCCGTAAAAAGCTTTGAACAGAGCGGACTGGAAGGAGGATAAAGTATAATAATAATATGGAAGCGAACCTAGACGACATGGTCTCGAACAACCTCGGTTCACCGGTAGAGGTCGATGGAGTAGGCTCTTCGTTTTCCGACTGGGACACCACCGACTTATGCGAACGAAGCCTGAAATACACACAACGGATTAGTAAAAATAATATAACGAGTAAATACCTTCAGTAAAGAACTTAGGTACAGGTGGACAATATTATTGTTTCCAAAACAATTTATTTTTAACTAATATAAATTTAAGTTATTTTTACAATATATACCTAGCTAATATAGGTTTTCGAATTTCGACAGGCCAAGTTCAATTAGTAGGCTAACTGGCAAAAATGAACTAAATCTGAAAAATAGAACCTGATAAAGTGCAGCTTGCAATATTACTGACTAATGAATAGTATTGTTTTGTTTATATGTACCAACCTCCTTGCTACATTGCCACTGCGTGTAGCAGACCTTCCCTCGCGAGGTTTGGCCGAGCCAGCGACCTGGTTGTCGTCGGTGGTGGAGTCACTGACGGCTGTAGTCTTTTCATTATTTTCGGTCTTCGATACCGAAGCCTCCTCGTTGTTGCATTCTCCTGTTTGCATAAAATAGCATTTTTAAGTGACGATTTTGCTAAACAAAAAATGTAAATCAAAATTAATAATAAAGTTGATAAACACGAAGAATTTTTCAGATTAAAAAAAAATGAATTGCCATAACGCATATGATATTTTTAGGGCGTAAAAATATCATATACATATCTCACTCGGTTTGATGTAAGGGCTAATAGGAACCTAATAAGAATAACTTAGTTTCTTTTGCCTAGAAGCACAGAACAAAGTGGTATGTTTATGATTATTTGTAGTACTTACCCTCGCTTTTATCAGCATCCATGGGATCTGGAGGCAGGTGTGAGTACTCCGGTATCTTGGGACTCTTGAGATCTTCTTCAGCTGCAGTCACTTCGTCCTCGGTACCCATTTGCTCGTCCTCATAGTCATCATCCGCTTCCAACTGCTGCTTCTTGATTTCTTCTTGTCTAAAATAATATAAAATAACAGCAGTCTGTTAGGTCACAGGTCAAAGGTCACAGCGAGCCACTGAATGCAGGACACTTCCAACCCGCTGCTCTGGAAGGCATTGGGTCATTGAATAAATTAGGTTTAGGTTTACAAAATCTTAATTTCTCATACATAACATTTTTCTTGCTTTGTTATTGATGGTAATCTATTGTATATAATAATAACTACCTTCCTTATAATAAATACCTTCGTATTCCAGATTACTTTTTCCGTAGTAACTCGCACGTTTAAGAATGATTTAACGTGTTTGGTGTTTTGTTAAAAAAAAATAATTTGAATGAATTTTATTTTACGTATTAAGATACATTTGTAGTATATTCATTAATTTTGAAATCTCATATTTTTTTTTTTTCGTTTAATTACGTTACTTATTTGAATTTGAATAGCGAAATTGAAAACTCTTGAATGAATTTTGGTAATCTCTGGAGAAATAAGCGAATAAAATGAGGTTTGATAACTTACTCATCAATAAAACGTCCGCAGATCTCATGGTACTGGGCCAGTTCCTGCTTGTAAAGCAGATGGCCGCGTAATATGAAATCGAAGTACACGCGGAGACCGTCAGCCACCTCGCGGACCAAGTTTAATCTGGGAACAACAGAAAAGACATAATTTAAGAAAAAAGGTACGTATATAGTGTGATTCTCGAGTCTCATTAAATGAAAAGAACAGCGGCATATAGAGTGGTGTCAATTTGTAATTTCTCTAAGAATATTTAGTAGAAGTCAAAAGCATCTGAAAATAAAATCGTAATTAGGTATACGATTATAATGATAGGTTGTTGAGTGGTATACGAGTGGATATACCTGCAAGACACATCAAGCATATCAGGCTTCTGCGGCGGATCATGGCGGGCGCGAGGAGTCGCCCAAGCACCGGCACGAGCGAACCACTTCACAAACGACTCCAAGATCTCCGCAGCACATGGCGTCGCAGGCAACTGCGACAGGCGACCTCGCTTCACCACCAAATGATAATCAAACGTCAGCCGATCACTGTAATAAACCAAATAATTTATGGCACAACGCAAATAAAGAGCCAATCAATAGAATGTTTGACTAAATTGAGCTGACATTGAACAATTATTTCCATTATTATAAGCAATTGAGCTTCAGATCATCGTCACTAAAGTAGTATTCTGCTGAGTAGGTACACTAGAACTAGAAAACATTTATTTACCGTAAAGCTGAAGGCAGCGTGATGTGAGCTCGGCCTACATGCACGTTGGGTGGCGGTGACCGAGGCTGGGAACTCGACCCAGATGCAGACGAGGAGTCAGTGTCGGCCGTCTCCACGCCTTCCTCAACATTATCTGATCAATAGCAAGTACTCAGGTCTCAGTATGTTCTATAAATAGCGACGCAACAACAATGATACACACGTACCCAGATAACTATGTTTACAAGTTGCAAGAACGTTTCTAGTGTTATGGATATGCCCTGAATACGGTACTACGCACTATAAAGGGCGTGTCCGCAATAATACAACGCAGACGACATTTCATGTACGTTTGTAGGAACGTAAATTAATCTAATTTAGACGTAACAAATTCAATTTTGCGTTATAAGAACATTTCCGGTACATACAATAAGTACATGAACGACCCAGGAATCTTCTGTAGTTGGTCTTACATAATATCATCACGCCTTTTATTCTCTGAAGGGATAGGTTCCGGACCACCCACTTTTCGCTGCTTATCTATCACCTATAGGTACTGAGTCTTATGTAAGGGTGGGAGTTCAATAATCTTATTATATAATAGGCAGGAGCTATGGTTTTTTAATTTATGCTAAATTGTAAAATTAGTTGTGCGGAATGATAAAGACGTCTTTTGTGAACGGTGCATTACGTCCGCAAAATATTTTTAGCACAGCTATTTAGATAAACTGAAAAAAAAATGCAGTAGGAAACATATTTGCAATAGAACATTTATGCGAATGTTCCTCATAAAATATGTCCAGTGATTTCAAAGTGCAAAAATAAAAAGTTCAGCTTTCAAACAAAGTATAAATAAACAATGAACATAATAACAAAGGAAGCCACCAATGCGAAAGGGGTGAGTGAGAGCGCTACTGCGCATGTCTGGGCGTTACCGCGTAAACGGCCATCTTTGCCGTACTTTGGGTGTGTCGACTGGCGCGGTTTTTGAAACTATAGCCACGTGTTTAACTTGTTCGTATGTACACTGGTGCCGTATTGCACCCAATGTTATACAAACGTATGGCTTGCACCAAGTACACATACAATGATTTTGTAGCAAAAGTATAATGACAAAAACTATCGTATCAGATTGTTGCAAAAATTAATTACACACGAAATAATAACAGAGCGAAATAGGCCAATTTTAAAATAAAAAAATTAGCACAAACATTAAAAAATGTAACGAGAATATTGTAGGATTGCAATTGCAACTCACCATCAGGCTGAGTGCTGCTGGAGGAGCCATCATCGGAGAAGCCATGTCTGGCGCGTTTGGCGGGACCCGCGCCGGTCGAGTTAGAGCCACTGCCGCCGCCCTTTTTACGTTCGCGCCGGTATAAATAGGCGCCCCTATATTAAACATTGAACATTGAAGGAAAAAAATTGTAACCAGCACAGCAGTCTGCACAGCTTTTTATTCTTTATAAATTGCACAAATATGAATATTTTGAAAAGATAAAATCTTACAGTTGCAGTTGAGATTTCTCAGCTAAATCTCTTTGTAGCTGCCTATTTTCTTCTGTGTCTTTCAACACAAAATCTTCGCTAACACAGCGATCCCATGATGAATTCCAGCCTTGAAAATGTATCAGGTACTCCACAGTACGCCGGCCACGCTTGTCTTTACTTTCAATTACTTCCAAAACCTGTGTACAATAAAGTTAGGCACTGAAGTAGAGTCTGTTATGTTGGAACTCGACTTAGGATTGGATTCACACAATCTATTTATCTATTATTAAAAAATCCTACAATTATTATTACGGTGTAGGAAAATAGTGTGTTACAGAGTACTGTTAATTGACTTAGCCACCCTTTGCCCCACCCCAGTCACATGTTTATGGCTTCTGCCTGTTGGTGGTAGTGCCCCACCCTTTACAATATGTTTCAATGAATTAAGCAACTGCAGCAATGCAAGAATATCTTATAAGATACTAGTAAGATATTTTTGTGAAACAATAAATATTTTTGAATACAATACATGTGGTCAGACCTCACCCCTACCCCACCCACATCCAGGAAATGAACTTAGAACTTTAGAAAAAAGTTCAATTTATAGAATTTAAATATCTATCGTGAAACCACTCATTAACATGTATCAAAATGCATAACTTACAAGTAATTTGTGATATTTCTAACATAATAAATGAAAAAAAAAAAAAATATTCGTTTTATCACTTTTAGTAACAAGTTATGCATTATAAGTGCTGTGAAAGTTCATTTACAAAGTTTCTAAATATATTGTGTGATAATTTTGGACAAATATTTCGGCAAAAAAGTTATAAGCCCCTGAGAAAAAGTTTTACATAATTCTAACCTAGTTATTGTTAAGTAGTTGTTGCAGGTAGTTTTAGAATATTATTTAATATAGAAGAGGGTAAAAATAATTTAGTATGTTGGGCGTGGTTAGACCTAGTACTGCAGACCTTACCTTGGAGTCGTAGAGCACCTTGGCTTTTGTAGGATCCGGTTCATAACACAATACGCGCTCGCCTTCGCTGAATTTATAGCGGACCCCCCTCGTAGACACCATTGCCGGTAGTTGTTCCTCGATGTTTCGAAGTACTCAATATTCCGATAATATTAGTTATGTAATTTTTAATTATTATTGAAAATTTAAAATAATTTTCACAAATCGCGAAACCACAAGAAATATTTTAGGCACCGATAGTTTAATTATTTTGAAGACCGATTCACGTATTATTAGAAGTATTTTTAATCGGAGTCTGCGGACACTGCAGCCGGGCGTGTGCGACACACCTATTCCACAAAAATAATGTTTTGTTTGGGCGTCGGCCGATGTTTATTTTGATTTCAGCTGTCAAACATAGAAAGACACAATACTACGGCTGTTCCATTTTTACTTGGCAACACTGAAGCAACAATGGCGCTAGTAGTACGAAGTTTGAGAAATCAGGTTTATTTAGAAAACTCCGATATCTTATTGATTTAAGGCATATTTCATGCTGATAACTAGTATTTAGGTGTAGATTAATTATAATAATGTGATCAAATATTACTGTGATTGGAATATTATTTAGAAACAATGAAAAATTTGGGTGATGATCAAATTATTTACAGATACAACGAGAAAAAAAGAGTAATTATATGTACATGCGACAGTATTTAAGTAAATTGAACTTTGTATTTTTAAAATATAAATTAGTCACAATATTTTTAGTTCCACAGCTTTAGTCTGGCAAGGGCGTTGTGTTGACGTTGTTCCCTTCCCATCTCCCAGACGTGTTCTATAGTTACGCAGTGCTATTTACGTAGGACTTGGGCGTAGGATAGGGCGTGGAGCGATTGGGGCAGATATCCAAGGTCGTTGACAGGGAACAGGGAAGAACAAAGCCTAGCGCTAACGTGTCCCTGCGTATAACTACTTAGTTATTGCTCAGTTTCTATGCATTGCGGAGTAAATAGTGGATGTTATTATGAATGACCCTGATTTATTTTTTATAGCTACCAATTTGTAATTGTATTTTTTTTCTGTTTATGATTGTTTTAATTAGTGGTGTAAAAATAATTCTGCAAGATATGGACCATATTGGTATACATATGAAGTGTAAGTATTAACGCCTGTCCAAATGAACACCGCAAATAGTTATATTTGCATTTTGACTGTAGTTTTATGGAACTACATAATTAACTCAACTCTATATTTTATGACTAAGTACGTTATGCTTTATATACACAATAATTTAAATACTGAAAAGGGAACCAAGTAATGCTATTAAAATATAATTTCATTAAATACAATTAGATAGGTACCTATACTACCTATACCTTGATCGGAAACCATAACGACAAGTGACATAAAAATATATACAGAGTTATAAGTTCCGTAATCTGCATAGTATTTTCATCTGTGCCTAAAAATTTTATGAACAGTTCGATTTTCTCACACCCTTTTTTGCGGCATCCGCCACCCGTCTGGCTTTCCCCTCGGTTGGGGTGAGTGCCTCATTGTGAAGCGGCAAGGGGAAGCTCGCGTTCACAACCTACCTATACGTACCGATCATTGTTTTGACTGCGTGTTAGAACAGTCTCGATTTTAAATAACATCACTTTACTTTAGCATGTCGTTAAAATGTAAAAGTGAAGTATGAGTAGGTAGCACATATTACCTAAATGTTATTTTTTCATGATAACTAGACGGAAATCCAAATGATAAAGTGCTTATGAATGCTATATTTAGTGTAGATACGTATCGAATTCAGGTGTTATACATTTCAAAATCAATCATTACATAGGTAAAAAAACAAAACTATATTCTATACTACGTCGTGAAAGTTAGGTATAAACCAAATATTTCCCAGGCCCTATGTCAGCCTAGGTACGTTATAAGTACAAGAAAATGTCAGTAGGATAATTTCAGTCGCAGGCCGCCTGAGAGTGAACTTTTAACCCGGCTATACCTACGTGCTACGACGAATAATTAAATTACATTCTGTCTGTGGCATTTAACTAAGTTCTTATTGTAAAACATTTATTTAGGTAGTAAGTATTGATTTGTCCTTTATTTAAAAAGGAATTATGCATACTATAGATAACAACATAATGAGTGTACTTGTGCTTGCGCATATTTATTACCTATAAGTAATTATTATATGTAGTTTGAATATAACAATCCTTATTCATCAGTTATGTTATGAGTCCATGTTATGAGTCCTAAGTAATATAATTATAAAGAGTGAGTAGTGAGGCTCAAGGTTAGCTCTGTACCTACGTCGAGTGAAATTTTATAATATTATTAAAAAAAGTGTCCCAATAACAAACTTTGTCCAACCCGCAATTAGAACTGGGACGTCTTGCTCGGTAGTAACACTTACGATCAATTGACCAACGAGTTAAATAGTTTTCTTGGAAACTGTCCGTCATTAATCCTTATTTTTGTTACTACGAAATGGACTTGAAAAAGAGTTGGGCTGTCGCATTTTGGATATGAAAAAATGTCAATACGTTTGTTGTGTGATACTTCTTTTATCCTATACTAAGTTTACAAAAACCGACTTCAAACCCCTCTTTTAATGAATTAATAAACTAAAACCTTCCCCTAACTGTATCTAATACTTTACCTGAAAACCTCATCTAAATCGGTTAAATCAATTGCGAGATACCTAATCGCGCATAAAGATAGGTACATATATGAAGATCAAATTGAGAACTTCCTTTACTTTTTGGTTAAATAATGAAATAAATTCGGTTAATAAATCAAATAAAATAATAGATTTTCGTTACAAAAATAATAATTTAATTTAATATTTCCTAATGAACATTTTTATACTATAAACGCATTGAAAATAACACGTTTTATAATAGTACAATGAGATTCCTAGGTTTTGGCATCAGTTTAGTGGTGGTAGAGGGGAGCGGAGTAGGCAACGGGGGCAGCGAATTTGGCGACGGGAGCGGCGTGGACCACAGGGGTGGCGGCGTACGCCAGCTTGGCGACGGGGGCAGCGTGGTACACGGGGGCCGAGTGGTACACGGGAGCAGACTGGTAGGCGACGGGGGCAGCCTGGTACGCGACGGGGGCGGCTACCTTGGCGACGACGGGAGCAACCACTTTAGCGACGGGGGCAGCGACCACCTTAGCGACGTGAGCAACGGGTTCCTTGTGTACAACAGCGTTGAAACCGTTGTGGGGGTCAGCAGTGTATTCAACAGTGCGCTTGGTACCGTCAGGGTCTACCACAGAGTAGGATCCTTGGACGACATCTCCGTCGCGGCTCTCGTGCTGGCTCTTGGAGTCCCCGGTGAGACCGTCCTGTACGTCGTACGCGAAGCTGTATTGGGGATGCGCGTCATATTCCTCCACGGCGACCTTGGCGACGGGGGCGACCACCTTAGCAACAGGGGCGGCGTACGCCACAGGGGCAGCGTGTACTACGTGCGCTGGGGCCGCAGCGTACGCTTGGTGGGCGACATAGGCGGGAGCGGCGGAGTACGCCACGGGGGCGGCTGGGTAAACTCCGGCGCTGGCGGCAGCCACCAAGCATGCGAATACTACAAACTGAAAACAATATTTTGATCAATCAGTGATCTTATTCTAATGCACGATCTCTTATTCTAATGCACTATTTACAAAAGATAATTAGAGATAGTTTATGCTTTACTCTTAGAACAGGTTCTTGCGTGTAAGTCTGTACCTTGAATGCCATTGTGTGGTATGTGAGTTGATCGAGGATGTTGAATGATGCCTGACGAGAAGTGCTTGGAGCTTTTATATGGCTAGCGGGGGCGCACCCTTTCACTCGGCGATGTCGTGCGTAAGTCACACGGCCGTGGATTAGAGCCTCAGGGCGCTATTAATGCTCCCTAATTTTTCGGAAGCTGATTTTGTGATAAGAATTTGTTATTCTGATTGAAGTCAGCGAGTATTGATATGGTTTCATGTGATAGTTCTCTCGTACTTATTTCTGCCCTTACGGAAGGGTTCCTTATTTGTTGTTTTTATGATAAGCAATCATTTCCTAAAATAAAAGATAATAAAAATACAGAATAAATGATACACTGTGAAATCTATTTTGTTTTCTTCCTGAAGCAAATTGGTTCTGTCATGGTAATACAATAGTTTTACAAAGAAATAAAATGTTTAAAAAAAATAACTGGTGAACCATTACAAAAAGCAAACTTTGAAAGCGCATACAAACTCATAGTAACTACATTATCAAAACATCACGCCATGTAATTCTCGAATAGGTATTTCTCGTCGGGTGGCACGTGCGATGCGAATAGTGCGCCTACAAATTTACGTCTAGTGCTTTATGTGCATATTTCTATGAATATTATTTAACTACAAAATTACAAAAAAAAATCGCTTTTATTTTATAGGTATATCGAAAGTACCCCTTATAGCAAGTTGTTTTGCCGCGGTATGAAAACCAAATAACCATAAATAGGTATGGCCACACCTGTCCTACATTGGGATAGGAAAACACAATGGCATGATAGAGCCAATTGGGATAGGTTCCATCTTCATAATCATCTGGTCACTCAGTTACTGCACCATACGTGCAGTCTTTTGAATTACATAACATGACTTCACGCCTTTTATCACCGAAGGGGTAGGCAGAGGTGTACATTATGACACTGTACAATGTAACACCCACTGTTCAGTATTTATGTTATGAGTCCCATGTAATAGGGGTTGAGCCTATTGCCACATACCGGGCACTTTTCCAGACTCCGTGCTGACTGAGATTATTTTTAAAAACCGGTAATACTTTGCTCGACTCGGGAATCGAACCTGAGACCCCATGCCCGGCAGTAGCACTTGCGACCACTCGGGCCAACGAGGCAGTCTTTTGAATTATGATAATTAATTACGTACATACATATTACAATCTTAAGTTTACTTTGTTGATAGTTGTCTCAAGTTTACATGTGAGAACAATGTCGTGAGATGATTGTAGTCATACAAAGAAGGTCAAGATTCTGTCACATTAAAATATTTTTAATAAAACTGTTAGTAACGATGCATGCCTGTAAATACTAGTGACTGCGCTCATTTAGTCAACTGTTTGAATTATGTGTCGTTATAGTAATTAAATCTCAGTTTATCAATTTAATTCTTATTTTCTTATTTTCGTCCTATTCCATGGACCTAGCCTACCTAAATGAGCGCAGTCACTCGTCCGTCAGATTCTATCTCAATATACTATACCTACGACTCAGAAGACTGAAAATAGGCCCTACTCTCTCTCTGGTATGTATCGGGCATCGACACCATTGGTCATGACATTTTCGTTTAAAAAGATGTCGATGGTCTCTGGTTATTTAACTCGTAATGTAAGGTAAGGGTTAGTAAGTTTAGAGATGTATCGGATAAGGCTACTATTTCAATTCACATTCACTTTTAATAAAATACGCTAAGAAATGGTTTACAAAAGTCCTCAATAGCAAAAAAACTTAATATGAAAAAACGTATCAAATATGTTTTTTATTCGCAGTTCCGTGTGACATGACAACGGAGGTATTAATTTCCTGTTTTGTGTAGGTATGTATGTAAGTATATGTAACACGAGACTTGGCCCTCTACCTCAAATTCAAGGTCGTGGTAATCAGAGCAGTCGGACGGCCGCCGCCCGCCCGCCGGCTACACTTGCACTGCTTTCCAGTTCGTAGTGCGACTACGTTAACTGGCAACTTTTGCGAAATATTAAACAATTAACGGCATATTGTTTAATTTTGATTATCAAACCATAGTGTATTCTAACGGTCTTTGAAGCAAAAGTACTTTGCCATTGTTGCTAAATATTAGAATAATTTTTTCGTCATAGATTGTTGGCCTCCTTATTATTGGAAAATGTTCAAGCATTTTATTTGAGTCGTCGTGATCAGGTCGATTCGGATCGTTAACCTCCTCGTTCCTTATGCTAAAATTGCTTCCCTGCCTGTTTAAAAAAAGGTGCACACGAAGTGTAAAATGAAAGCTACATTATGTAAGTAGGTTTACATAATAGGGAGCTTTGTGTAAATTAATAACATCAAATGTCACTGAGTGCTTTTTATTAATTAACATTTTAAAGATAAAGATAAAGATAAAGATAAAGATATATTTATTTGTATAAACATGTGTGGGTAACATTATACATATCAATGCAAATGCAGATTATAAAATAAACACTGTAACGTCTCAACATGTTTTGCCACAATTGGCGTACAAAATAATTATAAAATGTATAAATCTATTAAAGAGACAACTAAAGTTAAAACATATGAAACAATGAACTTATAAATTATCATTTAAAAAATCCGTAATATGGTAATAACAATGCTTAATAAGTAATTTTTTTAGTTCTTTTTTGAACAAAGTATTATTATTTATATTTTTCAAATTATGCGGAATTTTATTATATATTAAAGGTGCCATACAAAACACACTTTTACGGAGAAGTGCTGTTTTCGCAGAGTGAGGCTGTAGATAATGTTTATATTTCTTGCGTCTATTCCTAACAATATTATCTGCTAAGAGAGGAAACCAGAGAGGGTTATTTCTTACAAATAAAGCTATTTCCAAGATGTATAGTGACGGAAGTGTCAGTATATGGTACTCCTTAAACAGTGGTTGACAGCTGTCAGTAGTTTTAATCCTGAACATGGCCCGGATACAGCGTTTTTGCATTTTAAATACCATATCCGTGTTGGTCGAGTTTCCCCAAAATATTAGACCGTATCTAAGCACCGATTCTATCAGCCCATAATATGCCGTCAATAACGCGTCTCTGCTCACTGTTGATGACAGTTTATACATCGCATAAGATAAGCTACTTATTTTTGTACAAAGCTCTTCAGTATGACATTTCCAATTGAGTCTATTGTCAATTTTTAAACCAAGAAATTTGGCTGTTTCTACTTCTTTAATTACATTATTTTTATATATTACTTTAAATTGAATTGCATTTTGAGGTCTTTGACTGTAATTCATTGCATTTGTTTTATTCATATTAATTTTTAAATTATTATTGTCAAGCCATGTTATTACTGAATTTAGGGACTCATTTATGTCGATTTCAAATAACTGTTTATCTTTACATATAATTTTATATCATCTATACAGGTAAATAAAATTAGAGTGTCTGTTTGTAATATTAAAATAACGGTTTTGTATTAGGTACATGAATATTCATACGATACACATACCAAAATAACATTTTTTGTCTGTCTGTACTGGCTAATCTCTGGAATAGCTGAACCGATTTTGCAAGACTTTTAGTGGCAGGTAGCTGGTGTACTAAGGACTAACATAGCTTATTTTTATTTTGGAAAAATTAAACAAAAATAAGTTATATTTTAAAATTCATATTCTACGCGGACGAAGTCGCGGGAACAGCTAGTTTTAAATAGTTGTTAACAATAAAACTTTAATGGAGAGTGTTGAAGTAAGAGGAGGCGGCCGGAGGCCCAATTACTCCCCTCCCTATTCTTCCGAATCCCCGAATCCTTCACAATCCTCAAATTCCCAATTTCCAAAATGCCGGTAACGCACATATTGTAACGCCTTGGTGTTTCGGGTGTCCATGGGCGGCATCGATTGCTTACCACCAGGTGATCCGTCTTGTCGATTACCGGCTTATATGCTATAAAAAAGAAAGAAATAAAAATTATCAAGTCTATATTTTATGTGGTTTACTTGTGAATCATTAGTAAACACATTGGCAGACGTTGCATACTGGTACCTACTCTTATTTGTTTGTTAACTAAATAGTTTCTATTAAACTGGTATGTGTACTCTATACTGGTTGTGTAGGTAATTACATAATGGGATTAGGTACTATAGACATCAATATTGGGAACGACTCTTATCTATTGTGAAATAACCAACAACGAAATGACATTTACAATAATATTACCAATATATTATGTATGATCAATATAATCTATTATAACACATAATATTAAAACCCTATACTAATAAAGTCTTTTGTATCAGATCCATGTTCGAAGAGATTTCAAATAGATGCATATCACCCTAAGTAATACTAAGTACACGTCTAAGTGGCTACTTAGTACGGTAAGGAAGAACTGAAGCAGCCATAAAAAGCTGGAGCGACATTTACTGCGGTACGTGTGCTCTTGTTATCGTGCATGCGCTTGCGCAAGTACGCTCCACCCGCGCGCTCAAGGATGCCTCGCCCACAACACAATGCTAATACTTATTACATTTAATCATCTCGTTTTAGATGTTTGACAAGGCTAATTTGTTTTGTAAACCAATACTTATTATTTTTTAAGTGTTTCTATGTCAATATGATATCGGTTAGTGTCTGTATATTTTCAAAGGGGAGTCATTACTTAGTATTCTGTAGAGTTTTGAAGGAATAATTAAGTATTATTGTACTTATTTTGTTTTACTTTACAAGTATAAGTAAAGTATTAAGTTACCGCAAATAAAAAAAGTATCAAGAAATCTCTTGCGAAAATCCAGTCCTTGTATATAGGTGTCAACTTAGAACTGCAAGGAAATTACTATAATTAAAACAATAACTAATAAAATATCGTCATTATTACGTTTATATTCCTACATTCAGAACAAAGTCAGTGTGTGTGTGTATCGTGAGAAACTAATTTAAGTTCAGCACCATGATGCAATGGCCATTTATTTTAGTGGGTCTACAATTTATTTATCATCAACCAAAATCTATATTAGTTTAGCGAATGTAACAGTTAGATTATTACGCCTATTTCACGAAGAGACA